CTAACTGTATACAATTATTATATATATATATATATATAATAATATATATATATATATATATATATATATATATATATTAAAATAATATATATATAAAATAAAAATATGTGTTCATTTTTAAAAAAGAATAAGAAGGAAATATATAATAATAATAATAAATACATATTTAATATAAAAATAATTTATATATAATGAAAAAGAAAAGAAAGAAAATTATAATATTTTTAATTTTATTTTTAAATTGCTATATTTTATAATTGTGATTCTTCAAGATCTAATTATTTTATCTTATTTTTTTAAATTCTTCAATTTAGAGAAAGTTTCATTGATATTGGCTTGTTATTACCGAACCGGTTTTATTTTAATTTTTTATAATATATATAAATACATTTTATACATTTTATCAATTCTTAAAATACGCATTATATGATTTGCAATGCATATTACTGATTGATTTAATAAGTATATAAAATTATATAATAAATAAATATAATTAATTAATAATTTTTTTAATTTATATTGAATAAAAAATTCTAATAATTGTAGATATTAAAAAATTTCATTTTAATAAATTTGTAATTTACAACTTTAATTTATTTACATTACACAATATTCATTAATAAATAATATATTATAAAAACTAGATAACAAAATAATTATAAAAGAAGTACAAAAACGTTTAAATTTATTAATATCTATATTATTCGAATAGATGGCGTGTTTGTTTGAAATATCCGCTAGTATGCATTCATGAAGTCTTATGTCTATTATTATATATTTTTTAACAAATATAATTTGATAAATGAGAGAACGTTATAAGCATATTTTTCTTAAATATTTAAAAGATTAGTAATTATAATATTTTTAAATATGTAATGATAATTAATGTTAAACAAAGTGTGAAGTTCTTCGTAATATTCAAAGTGCGTAGTTCATCGTTTGCTTCTAACTTCCTCTCACAAAAATTACATTTCTATGTAAGATACTAATTTAAAACTATCGTAATATATACGAAAATAATAATATAAATATATATATATATTTTTCCAGTAGTATTTAAAACATCATATAAATATCAACTTTTTTATTTGGTTAATTATTTGATGTATATATAATAGAAGTCGATATGTTGATTAATATGAAACGCATCTAATGTATTTCTTCTCTTTTGGTGAGTAGTGCATGTGTATTTGCATAATAAATAATACGTAATTCGATAAAAAATATATTTATTATGAGTGTAATTCTTCCGTTACAAAATAAAAGTATGTAATTTTGCAATAATTTTAAATAATTACAAAATATATAATTAATAAGTTTATTATTCATTATATCTTCATAATGGGAGAATATATACATTGATCTATATGCATACATTTATATAGATTATATGCATTTTTACGCACATTTTTTTTACTATTTAGTAATTTTTTGAAAAATATTTATTAAAAAAGTAATCAACTATTTTCATATGTCAAATATGATTTCTAAATATATACATATTTGTAATGTCTACGATTTCTTTGTTTTATTTGTCATTAAAATTAAAATTATAATTAATTATTTTTATGAAATAAAATTTTACTTAATAATAAATAAAATATTTATAATATATATTATTTTAATATAAAGTTAATATTAAAAAAACTATGTATGATATTTAGAAAATAGATTTGTTAGGAGAATTTTTTATCATAATGCTATAATCTGACAATTTTTAAAATAATTTATAAAAATGGATTCTTTACTTTCATTTATTCATTAACAAAAAAATATTACATTACATTGTTATGTTATATATATTTATATTAAAATTATATTATTTTGACATTTCTTATTCTTATTTTATATATAGATTTTAATTGGAGCATGTACCAGACTTTATGGATTACAATCGTAGCATTTGTATTTATAAATGTTGAAAAATGCCACCAAAACAAAGAAAAATAGCTATTATGGGTTATAGATCCGTAGGTAATATAAATTTATTGTATATTATATAAAATTATTATAATTAAAATAATTTAATGTAAATAAAGCTAATCTATTTGATAAATAATTATATTAATAATTAAATTTGTATATATCTTTAAAAATTAATAAAAAATGAAATTTTAATATATTATAAAAATAAAAGTTATATAAGTTATATAAATTTCAATTTTAAAAAATATGTATTAATTCATATATATTATCATGTTGTATATATATATATATATTTATATTTATATATACAATTTATAAATACATAAATTTATATATACAACATGATGTCTGGAAATATATATTTTGAATAATAATTTTTTTATTAATCTTAATAGGCAAGTCATCACTGAGTATACAATTCGTCGAGGGACAGTTCGTGGATTCATATGATCCTACTATAGAAAATAGTAAGAAGTACCTGTATCGTCTTACACGCTACTTCAAAGATTTCTAATGACACTGTTAGTAGTATTTTCTGCACATTTTGTTAGTAATTCATGCTGTAAACAAGCAATAGATTCATGAAAACTTATTATTAAATGAGTAAATATTTTATTGAATGTACTAAATTTAATGAGTAAAAAAAATATAAAAAATAAAAATCTTTAATATATTTATATTAAAATTGATTATCAACTTTTTAAATTAATATTTCTTTTTAATTTGAATTATCTATAATATGAAGAATCTATAAAAAGTTGATAATTTATGATAAATATATTAAATCCATTTTATTTTTATTCAATAGAAATTTTACTTAAAAATAAGAAAATTATGCAAGATTTAAAGTTTGCTTTCCTATATTTCAAAGATATATTTCAGTTAAAATTTCAGTTTTAAAACTGAATAAAAATTTTTAAAAAATTCTCTCTCTTTTTCTCTCTCTAAAAATTAATTTATTTTTTAAATATATTAATTTTAACTGTTAATTCTTGCAAAAAAATTTTCTTATATAA